TCAATCGTCTTGAGAACAATATTTCTACTTTTCTTTTACTGCATTCTCTTGTTCTTTGAGCCGATTGATTTCCAACTCATGTTCCCTTAACTTACCAAAAAGTGAAGCGGTAGTCATTTCGATCAAGTCTCTTGATTACGATATAGTTGTCACCTTTGGTTGCCACGTTCTGTCCAAACACTTTAAGATTTTGATGTTCAACTCTTCTTTGTCAAAAATCTTTCCTAACCCAATTAGATGATTGACTATGTGCGTGAACCTTTTACGCACATACTGCAATTGTTTCTCCTTCGTTGCATTTTAAACAACTCATAGTCCACTGATTAACTCATGCTTTCTTGCCCTTTTCACATCGAGATGTTCCTTCATGTGTGACCTCTAAAATTTCCCACATCTCTTTGGCAGAGGCACCTTGAGACACCCTGAAAAACTCATCAAGATTTAAAGCGAGAGGTAATAATATTTTTTGCAGTATAATCATATTGGACTCTCCTATTTTCTACATCGGTTAATTCAGCCCAATCTTTTTCAACTACTTTACCATCTACTTGTATGAGTTGGTTTGTAAGGACCATTAACAATTGTTTCCCAAATGCCTCTATCAAGAGATTCAATAAAGATTTTCATTCTAACCTTCCGGAAAGAATAATTCACACCGAGAAAAAAGTGGAGGCCTGTTTATGGAGGCTCCTTCGAAAAAGTCATCTTTCCCTCGGCCATTGGACCGATTTCTTGAGTAACTTACAAGAACCAGCTCTGGTACCAATTGAAAGAATTAATGGTTGAGTTCAAGAGGGGGTGAATTGAACTTTAAAACTTTTCGCAAAACTTACTTTCTTTTGGAAGAATGAGTTATCTTTATTCAATCTTTGCGAAGGTAATTTGGTTTAAACACGACAAGTTTATAGACGAGAAAATAAAAGAGATGAAAGAAGAATTTTAACACACAAATTTATCTTGGTTCACTCTAATCCGAGCTACATCCGAGTTCTTGACAAACCAGTCAAGTTCCACTAATACCAAGTGAAAATTACAACCGGTAGATACTCACCAATCTACCCCAAGAACTATCTTGCAAACCCACAAGATAGAATCTTGAAAACCACCCGATAACCAAATCCGATTCTTGTACCAAGTGCGAGATCACAATCCAACCTGCACAATCACACTTTTACAAAAGAGTATGGAAAGAAAAAACCTGGACTTGAAGTTCTAATTGTCGAGAACAAATTCTAACAGACACTTTCTCTCTTTGATTGACCACAATTCGATCACGACACCTTATGATATGAAAAGATTCTTGAATGCGAGAGAAAGTCACGTATATGAAAGTTTCACAGATTGATTTCACAAGTTTTCTCAAGTAGTGTGTTGTATATATTTCAAAAGATAGATCAATTACGTATATATAGAGTAAAACAAAGAATCAGAATGTTTCATCTGTCAAAAAGCTGTTTGAAGAGTCACAAGATCGATTAGTTTGAAAGTATAACAGTTTAGAAGAGACTCGATCGATTAGAAGCTGAAGTATGATCGATCAGACAGAGTTATGATCGATCAGAATGAAACTATGATCGATCAGAATACATTTCAATCGATTGAAACCACGATTCAATCGATTGATTTCATTTAAAAGTTCATTCAATCGATTGTTTCGAGTTTTCAATGGATTGAAACGACTTTATGAAAAATGACGACTCTCTGTTTCAATCGATTGAAAATTATTTCAACAGATTGAAATCCTGCAAACACTTAGTTAATAAAATAGCCTCTCTGTTTTAACAGATTAAAAATTATTTCAACAGATTGATTTTCTGAAAAACTCTTAGACTGAAAAAATAGTCTTTCTGTTTCAACAGATTGAAAAAATATTTCAACAGATTGATTTTCTAAAAACTTTTAGACTGAAAAAATCTTTCTGTTTCAACAGATTTAAAAATCATTTCAACAGATTGAAAATGCGAAACTTTGATATTGAAAAATTCATTGAGTTATTTTAACTTGTTGATTCCGCGAATCAATCAATTGAAAATACGACTATGTATGACCACTTATTATGTTGAGTGATTTTAATAGATTGAAAATCCTTTTCAACAGATTGAAAAACTTAGTTTGTTCTTTTAATACTTAGATGTTAGTTTTTCATGCAGAAAAATGATTTTCAATGGGATGCAACATTATAAGGCGCTTATCACAAAATATAATGGACTATCAAGAGATTAAGTGCTTAAACTAAAACCCAATCATCTACACACCCACAACCTAAGCTATATCTATGTCTTCATCAAATCCACCAAGTGCTTCACACCTTTGAGATTTCACCTTAAATATGAATCTTACACCTCGGGTCATTTAATTATCCACTAAACAATAATTATTTTTCAAGTCATTCACATGTAATCCCTTTGAATTGTGCATATAGTACCATCATATATTTTAATTCTGATAGTACCGACTCTACAATATCTAAGGCATGATCATTTCTCATGAACACAAATCATTCTGAGATAGGTTCATAAGCGTAAAATCAATCCTAATGTAGAGTCATATGTTAGGTTGCACGTAAATTCATTATTCATCCATCATGAAACTTTTTTTCTCTAACCATAAGGTTTTCTTCTTCTGAGGTACTAACAACATAATCTTATGAGGTTGATGCTTCAAAATTTTTTCCTCCATCCTGCCTATGCCAACAATGTCTCTTTGTGTGCCCTCTCTTTCCATAATTGTTTTGAGATTCTTCTTTCCTTGTGACACCGATCTATTATGATTTTAACTCCCACTAAAATCATATTTTATTGATCTACCTCTCATCATCGTTAATTTCTTTACTTAGTTTAAACTTTTCACCTTACTTTTTCTTATATTCTTCTTCAATATAGCTTTGACAATATCCTCAAAGTGTATATGTTTATCAATGTTTTTATTTTTTATATTGATGACGAGTTGATTATACGAATCAAGTAGAAGTTTCACATGCTCATTTTCAACTTTATTAAAATTTGTCGCTGAAAGTTAGACAAATAGCATATTTAGATTGTTAATGTGATCTATCACTAATGTGCATTCACTTATTCATTCAAAGAGTATAATTTTTTCCTTTAAAAAATGTTCTTGTGGAAAGTAACTTAAATTCCTACAATGTGATGAAAGTATCTCAAATTTCTTTCGTTATGTTTTTTCCCTTACAATGTTGAAACAAATTTCGCCTGCTATTACTAAATGTAAATTTGTGATAGTATTGTTATTAATTTGTTTTCACCTTTTATGTGATTTTCATGGGTCTTTCTCCAATTGTATCAACAAAATTTATTTTATTTTTCTACAAAATTGCCTCTGCTTTCAATTTCTACAACAAAAAATTATTTTTCTTGAATTTCACTATCTTATATTTTGATATCACTAATGTTTAAATATTAAATTTTTCTTTATCAAAACTTTTCTAGACTTGTAACCATAGAATTTACTAAAAATTTTGTTCAACATTATTCTAATAATAATAATAGTTATAGCAGTAAAACAATATCGTACTCAAATAATTTTGATACCACGGTTTGGTATCAAAATAATAATATAAGAATTAATAATTAAAATAAAAATAAAAATAGAAACAAAATAGATAAGCAATAATATAATTTTACTAAAAGAAACTACACTAATAAATAAAATTGATAAAGATTTCAAAACTACGTATTAATGATGGTCACATGTTTAAAGAGAAAATTTATAATACAGCTAAAGAAAATTACATAACAATAGGAAAAAACAAACTTTGAAAAAGCTTAATATAGTTATTTAACCTTTGTTTGAGGTGAGATAAAAATTTAATTTGGGACAATTTATATTTCACGTATAAATGAGCATTACAAAAAATTATTAAAAATGTTAATTGAAATAAAAAATACTTAATTATTATCTTGACTAAGTTATAATCATTTAACTAAATTAATTAATGAATTAAAACTCTTGATCTCTAATTTTAACTATCAAGATTTTAAAAAGGACTTAAGTTAGTTGACACTTGATATTAGAAGTGTTCACGATGCATATTAGTTTGATTTTATACAAAAAAAATCATGTAAACTAAATATAAAATATAAAATTTAATTACAGGTTAATTTAATTAGATTTTAAATAAAAGAAATTAAACTAAATCAAATCATTTTTTTTAAATTTGATTTGGACAGATTTTGTTTTATAAAATTATCTATTATAATAAAATAATTATTAAATAAATAAACATATTATAATATCTTCATATATATAATTAATTGTGATGTTTATTATTTCAAATTTATTTCTATATATTTTCATATTTAATTTAAATAATAATAATAATAATACATACATATTATAAATTATAAAAAAAATATCAGTTCATATATAATAAATATTATTTTATATTTTAATTTCAATAATATATATTATAATTTCGATTTGAGTTTATTAATGGTTATCAAACAAAAACTAAATTAAGCTGATAATTTTTTAATTTTTATTTTATTTTTAGATTAATTCGATTTTAAACGCGAATGGGAACATCTCAGTTTAACCTCAAAGGCTTTGAACTGAATCCAAACCATAAATTATCAAAGATGTTAATATCGACACTGGCTATCGCATAATCTAACAATGCATATAATTTTTCAGTTTTGTTTTCTTAACATCCTAACAAAACCAAAAAAGATAAACACATCTTGAATCTGTTCTAGTATTAGAAAAGGGAATATAAATTCATACACGGATTAAACATTCGAAATTGAACACGTCTAGAATATGCATATGCTGAGAGGCAGCTGCATGTGCCTGAATTGCAGGGATAAGTATTTGAAATTAAGCACATGTGGAAAACGCATGTGCTAGGAGGCAGGAACGCGTGACTAAAGTAAAATGTTTTCTTTTTATTCCAACATAATATTGATAACGCAGCCCTTTTAGAAGCAAATATCATCAATTGCTCCGCCACTTCAAAATCCTTGACTTGCATCGTTCATCAACAGCTACCGCCTCAAGCTCTCTACTATGTAGTCCGCATACAAACTCCTTCTCAATCAAGAAAAGTGTAATCAGAAACTGATATTGTGATCTGATTATATATGCCGGTAAAATAACTATGATAATTAAAATCTCAGGGAATCTGAAAGAGAAAGTTTCTTATAAATTTAAAAAACCATTTCAAAGAAAAAAGGACATGGTGTGGAACTGAGAAGAACTCAGCCAAAACTTTTCAGGACTTGTCATGAATAAAGTAAAATAGTAAAGACGAGTGTTGCTTACATAGATCTTTTAATCGCTTCAAAAGCAGCTGAGGCAGGCAAAAAGTCGTTTACTGCAACTTCCTTGTTTTCATTCTTCTTGTCTATAAATTCTTTATGAAGGAAAAATATAACATTCATTTTACACGGTGCAATAAAATGACTAATGCGTTTCATGATTTCATCATTCTATAGACGATAACAAATAGAAAATTTGGGAATCAGACGTTAAAATTCGAAATTTTTAAAGGATACAGTCTTCAAAGAAACGACGAATTTCAGCTAAACGATGTGGAGGAAGCTCCTTGATATCATTGTAATGTCGATACTCAGGATCATCAGCACAGACAGCGATTATTTTATCATCTTTCTCCCCCTTTATATCAGCACTATTAGTGGACACTCAATATTCAATAAGCAAAAGAGGAGTTCTTCCCGTGTTGAAAAGGTATTGTTTAATATATATACTATACCTGATCAATCATGGGCATGAGACCAATTGCTTTGGCTCGAAGAAAGCAACCTGGAAGAACCGGCTCCTGTCCAGTTACGTGTAAAGTTTAGCATCAAACAAAGCACACATCACATAAATTAGACAAATTTAATACTAAGATGATAAATAAGATCCGTAATTGTAGGATGATCACCAAGCATTGTTTGACTAGAAGACTATTCATCAGTTGAAATTGAGAAATTCATTATAATCAACTTGACTAGCATAAAATATGGACGACTAGTGCATAACATACTTTAATAAAGGTAAGGTCGTGCTTAAAATTGTTCTCGAATAAAAGATAGATGTCTTTGTTAGGTTTTTTCCTTCCCTTTTATAATCAAATTTTCCTTTAAGGTTTTTCTCCTGACGTATCTATTGGGCCCAATAATATCTTATTTCCCGTACTATCTACACATTGGACCCATTAGGTATCAATCAAGTTCATCTTCCCCAAATAGGTTTATCTTAACCTATTTTACTCATGCAGTTGGACCCGAGCTCAACCAGACCCAATCTCTATGCACATACCACATTAAAAAACTGAGATGCAGAAAATTGTATGGATGTACATCTCAATCAAGTTCGATTGTTGCCACAAAGGGATACACGATGCCACTGATTTTCAAGAAAAGATTTACAATATGTATGGATATATAAATACCTGCATAATGATCAAGACATCCAAGGGATCACTGTCCTCACAAATAGTACGTGGGATAAAACCATAGTTGTGAGGATACACAACTGATGAGTAAAGCACGCGGTCGATCTGTGAATAGATTGATGTTTAGCAACTTGACTTAGTAACTAACTGCAGAAGCAAAATGACTAAGCAACTATTACAACCTTGATAAGCCCCGATTTTTTGTCAAGTTCGTATTTCACCTTGCTCCCTTTCCCAATTTCAATTACCTGCAATATTCAGTCAAGTTACATTACAAAATTGCTCGAATATGATCTTAGAAAACATATCTTGATTTTTTTGCCCTTTGGAAATATAACAATATTCCAACTCCAAGACTTGACAACTAACATACAAATTTATGTTACCAGGGCAGCATCAGAAGTTGACGGGGGAAAATTGTCTCGTTAGCTATACCTTCAATACAAAATCTGTAACTACTATTTCGATAGCATTTAAGAGAAAAAAAAAACAAAAAGCAAGAAGAATAAATGAAAACATAGCAAAAGGCATTTTCTTTGATAATAGACCATATTAAACGCATCAGAAAACCTTGGTTATCCAACAAGTTCCTTGGTCCTAACTTTTAAAACCCTTTCTGAAGAAATTTGATCATCTAGGTAAATGTGATCTACATGGGTCCTACACACTACAGTGTAATGTTTATTATACTATTCAGTCATGCTTACACAATTGAAGGTCGTTGGAGCACCAGGCCCTGCGTTGTGAAAGAAAACAGAGTTAGCTTGGACACCAATTAGGAAATAAAAACCGACGAAGCACAACTAAATGTAACACAAGTACTAACAAGACAGCCATAGGGACATTGTCAGGCGAATATATAAATTATAATACCAAAGATAGATGTTCAGGACTCTCCCAAGGGGGCAACACACTGCTAATGGAATTTTATTTCTAAGGATGCATATTCTTTTGCAAGTCAAACTGGCCCTGTTTGTAGATGGCCGAAAGATATTTGGTAATCCATTATTTCTGCTTCCAAATTTGCTTTAGTATGGAGATTTGCTCATAATGAGGTCCCCCTTACTGATGAGTTAATGCGTAGCAGGATAGCTACTTTAGTTTCTAAGTGCAGCCATTGCTTGTAATTGCCACATGACGAGACCATGGAGCATTTGTTTTTACTCTATCCTTTTGCAATAATCCATATCCTAAATGAAATATTGTATAGCAGGAAGCTTTTGCGGTTTGAAAACTGGAGTAGATTCTATGTTAGAATGAAATACTTGATCAAACATACGCTAATATAGCTGGCAACTATTGATCTGATCGTATGCATTCTACTATTGATGAGTTTCCCATTTTAAAAGCATTTGCTGTAGATTGTCATCCTTAAAAAGCTCTAAAATCACTCAAGCAAATTGGTTTTGGTTACCTCCACCTTCTTGGGTGAAGTGTAACTCAGAGCAGCTATTACTGTCCTGCTCAGCCTGCTGACTTTGGTATTATTACTGGTGGGATGGTATTCCTTCCTTTAGTAGTTCCCCGCTTGTATTGTTTTCTTATTGTGAATATATATATATATATATATATATATATATATATATATATATATATATATATATATGTATATATATATGTGTATATATATATATATATGTATATATATATATACGTATATATCTTTGACGTATGCTGCAAATGATTGATGTTGATTAGGGTGTCATCCTAATTGGGATTGTAATAAAAATAGTGATGCTTTTGCATTCTTATTTTCAGAAAAAAAAAAAAACAAGTCACCAATTTCTTAATGCTTAGTTGCTTACCAATCTCAAGGTCATGCCACGGGTGTGCAGCAACAGATCTCCTGGTCATGGATGAAATAATCCTTTCATTAAGAGGAGGGTGTGAGGAATGGTGAGGGATGGGAACATTGTTTGGAGTTTCCTTTGATTGAACAGCATTTGCAGCCTGAAATAGTAACTATCAACAATAAAAAAGCTTTTCCAGATATCAGTCACTAAATAGGAACATTCTTTTTCTTTCTCAACTAATTGTTCCCAACTAGGCGCAATTTCCTCCGGCTTGGCATAACATAATTTATAATCTCAACTATATAAACACTTTAAAAGATAACAAAATAAAAAAAAAGATACATACATATATATATATATATATATATATATATATATATATATATATATATATATATATATATATATATATATATATATATATATATATATATATGCTTGCAATTAAACCTTCTGAGTATACCAAAAAGCACGTTACTAAACTTATATTATATAATGATATCATGAAAGTATAATCCCATCATATAAATATATAAATAAATAAACTAATTAAATATTAACATAGACGCAATAAAGAATGAAAGCAAAAGATATTACTTACAGTTTCGGTGTCCATGTCGGTTTCAACCATCACAGGTGGAACTTCTGCAACAGTAAAGAAAACAAATCTGCTACTCAGCTCCAAAGAGCATCAACCGCTCTTCTTTCTCAAATATAAAAATTTAATAGATGAATCAAGGAATCGAATAATTTTCTTAAAAAATAAAAAATAAAGCCAGGATATGTTTTCCGTTTCCAAAAGCATACAAAAGGCAATCCGAAAACAGAGAGAAACCGCCGGAGAAAAAGAATCCGAAAATGACCGCAGATCTAATTAATTCGAATTCATAATCTACGCTTTACAGAGCAGAGCTTTGAAAACGATCACACGCATCCTCAAATGGTTACAATAAACGCGCTTCGCAGAGACGTGTGTGACTGAGAATAGTTTTTAATAACGTCGGAAAACACTGAAAGTTAGTGATCGGGGACACGAAAAATAGCAGAAAAATCCAGCGCAGCCAGTTTCGAAAACGCTGGCGAAGAACGACGTGTGATTGAGAAGTGAAAGCAGCGAAAAGAAAAACTCACCGGCGCAAGGGAAAGCTGGTCTGCAGAAGGAACGAAAAGGATTGAGCACAGATCTCGAAAAGAACTAGAGCGTGTGAGAGAAGTTAATGCCTATGCTTGTGTGTGCTGAGAGCAGTAGAGAGGATAGAAGAGATTGATAGTGAAAACCTTCAAACAATGTTTGATATACTTCCGGGTAAAGGAAAGGAGCACAAAAAAAGTGCAACGGAATAAGAAAACGGAAATTCAACTCAAGTAAGAAATTCTCACCTTTCACCTTTGTTGCTCATTTGCGGTGGAAAAAATAAGTAAACTTTTTTTTTTTAATTTCATTTTACTATTTTGATATTAATTTAATTTTATTATTTAAAAATTACTATTTTTTACTATTGTTAAATTATCTAAAATAATACAATATGATATTAAAAATATATTACTACCCTCCGTCTACAAATAGAATACATAGAATCATTCTGTTGAATAATGGAAAGGATTATTGAGTCACTTACAAATAGTTCTAAAAAATAAAAATAAAAAATAAAATGAAAGTTACTTTTACGTGTCGTTTTCTGATTGGTGTCTTGACAACTGAGAAGGACACAGGAACCCGGCGTCGACAGTGACGGCGTTTCTAACGGTCAGGCGTTGCGACTAAGATATTCTGTTAGATTAACGTTTAGTTTGATGCCAAAAAAACAAGGACATTCTTTTTTATTGGTCCAGAGCAGAGAAGATACTCAGAGTCAAGATAAGGTAGCGAGAGCATTCAATTTCTTCAACCAAAAATATTTTTTTTCTTCGAAGTATACAACAAGCAATCAAAGTGAATTTTGTGTTTTTAATAATTATTTTCGCACACATAATTAAACATTAAATCTAGCACTATATCTAGAGATAAATATCTATCAAACTTGTCCTAAATTTTGTTGTGGATAGTGTTGCAATGGCATGTCACCATGTGTCAGTTTTCCAGTATGTTAGGGAAACTTATATTATAATAATTGACACATGAATAGTATTAGGATAAGTGGTTAATGAAGCTAATCCATTTCTTTTGTTAAGCAACTGTTTCAAATCATCATTGTATATGAATTGTTTCAAGTCACGCCTTTCTCTTTTATTTCATTGGTTCCTTCTCATCTTATTCTACTTTTATTTTATCATCCTTATTTAGCGTTTTGTCGTTATTTTTCGTCACATTGTTTACCGTCGTTTTCCTTGCATGCACGTGATATGGTTGCATAAGGAATAAAATGGTCCCAAAACTCCACTCCAATTTAATAAACCTGACACAAATAAAAGTTTAACCATTATGAAGAGAAAAACATTCAGGATCGAAACATCATCGTCGGGTAGTATCTCCAACCACCACCCAATTAATAGTCACCATCAAGTTGGTCCACCATTTACAACGGGATTGTTGTCATTCAAAGTAAAGTCTGTGAGACGTGTTAAGATGATAATTCAATAATAATGTTATAATGAATTTTTTAATTAGAGTGGTTAGTATAATAAAAAATTTTAATTACTTTAAATATTATGTTTACATAGTATTTGGATACAAGGGAGCGTAATTGCATAATTCAGCTTTTATATTAAATGCAATTTTTATTTTGTGTAACTCTTTCACTCAATAGTTTCTTTATAATTGTTTTTACTCTCATTTTTTTAGTAACAGTGATATTAAGAGCTTTAAGATTATAGAAGAAGAAAAAAAGAAAAAAGAAAGAAGATTGAATCGCAATGAAAGAAATTATATAATAGATTACATGACAATACAACATTGCTTTATAGAAAAAATTTGAACAATACATTTATCAGTGTATCGATAAAAATAATTTTGAGAAGATCTCGTTGGCAAACATGGCAAAAGAAGCTTAACACATACTGGAACAGAATTACGTAGGAGTAAAAAAGTTGAAGATGGTGTGACTTCAAATCTTGCATTGTTAATATGAGTTGTTGTAAATGGAAACACATGAAATCATCCAAGAATATTTTTCAAGATTATTTTCGATTACAAACTCGATGAAATCATGTGATGAAAGCTTAAAGGAACAAACAGTACTAGAAAAGGTGTTGAGGACCCTTGATGCAATATTTGATATAATTTTAGTTGTTATTGAAGAGTACAAGGATCTTGATTTGTTGAAAATGGATGAATTATAAGGGTTATTAGAGGCTCACAAACATCGATTACGTGAGAGAGCAGGAGAGAAGTTCAACATAGAACAGGTTGTTGACAAAACAAAAGAATGAAGGTAATAGAGGAAAATTGAACAAGACAGGTTGAGGAAGAGGTAGAAATAATGGTGGATAGGACTCATAAGGACAACAAGAGAGTTCTTCACAATCGAGAGGTGACAGAGGCAGAAACTCAAAATGGAAAGGTGGTTGATCTAGCTCTGGTGTGAGTAAGAAGAATGTACAATATTACAATTGTTACTGTGACATCTTTTTTTTTACAGGGGTAGTAGGTAAAATAAAGATGTTTTATATATAAAAGTAATTTACACTTTTTTTATAGGATATATAAAAGAAGAAGGAATTTTATTTTATTTTTTTATTTCTTCTATTCTTACTACAATTATACAAATATTTACATTGTCAGTGCAAACAAATTGATTAAGGGGTTTTGGTGAATGGTAGGAGGCCTGCAAGAGGTGATCAATATTGGTCCATCTAACATGATGGGAGTTCCCATATTAGATGTAAATGTTAATGCTGATAATTATAATAAGATCAGTGTAGAACTGAAGATAAATAAATAAGCATAACGCAGATCAGTAAGTAGTTGAAAATAAATAAATAAATAACATAACAAATAGAATGAGATTAGAGACACCTTATTTCAGAACTATAACTAAAATAAAATAGATAAAATGATAATAGTCTCTTTCTCTACCTCAATATTGCAGATTATCCACTAAAAATTATCTCAAAGTTGTATTTTTTTTTCTATCTCCCTCTCTCCTTCTTTTCTCACTCTCTCTTTTCCTTCTCTCCCTTTCTTAGCTCTCTCTTTTTTTTTTTTTTCAGCGCACCCTACCCCTTTATATACTAATATTTTTATTTTGTTTTAATTTTTTTTCCTTCATCTCATTAATGCTTTTTATCTTTTTCATTAAATTATTTTTTTTTATTTGGTCAATCAAGGTTACCTCTTCTTTGTACGAAGAGATAAGTAATATTATCTTTTTTTTCATATATATACATATTAATATAATATAATAATTATTATTGTTATTAATTCATATAATATCTATATATTTTAATAATAATAATATATAATAATAATAATAATTTCATAATGTGTTATAATAATATAATAATAATAATTATTGTTAAATTCATAATATATATATTATATTAATTGATAATAATTATTTTATTATAATAATAATTATTATTTATTACTATTTTAATTAATAATAATCACAATAAATAATAATTTTTTGTTTAATAGATATATTTTTATTTTAACAATAATAAATAATTGTAATGAATATCTATTTATAATAAGTTAATAATATATATATATATATATATATATATATATATTATAAATACTTGTTTTATTACCCGAGTAATATAATTTAATGTAATGTATCTGAAAATTTGTACATTATAAATTTTGAGGTATCACAGTTACAACAAGTATGATTATTATGTTGCTGACTGATGGAGTAAAGAAGAAGAAGCAAATGTTGCACAAAAGGAAGACTCAAAGGATAAAATATTATTAATGGTGACCTCAACAAAACTAATAAAGACTTTTGGTGAATCTTGGTACTTGGATATTGGTTGTTCAAATCATATGTCATTTCAAAGGAGTTAGGTTGTCAATCTCAATGAGGGTGTTAGATCGAAGGTAAAATTTACAAATAACTTGATAGTGAACTATGAAGAAAAAGGTAGAATCACGATTAGAAGAAAAATTGATAAATCTACAATAATTTTTCATGTGCTTTATGTTCTAACTATAAAGCACAATCTACTGAGTATCAAACAACTACTTCAGAAAGGGCATTCAGTGGATTGGAGATTGAGGGAGCAAGTGTTGAGAATCCTTGATAAAAATGAGACACCTATTTTGAAGGCACTTCTAAGTAAGAACAAAGTTTTTCGTGTCGATATATCATTATCGAATAACTTATGTTTTGCAAAAGTCTCGAATGACAATTGGTTGTGACATTTGAGGTTTGGTCATCTTGGTTTGGATAGTTTGAGCTAACTTGTAGAGAAGAAGATAGTGAGTGAACTACCTCAAGTCCAAAAAAGTAAAAACATATGTGAAGGTTGTATGACAAGGAAACAAGTCAAAAGCCCTTTAAGGTGTGCATCGAGACTAGAAGTAAGGATGTGTTGGAAGTTATCTACACTAATAAGTGTGGACCTTGCGATGTTTCTTCACTAGGTGGTAATAGGTATTCTATGACATTCATCAATGACTATAACAAGAATATGTGGGTGTACTTGCTCGAGAAGAAGTCGAAGGTGTTTAATCGTTTTATCGATTTTAAATTGATGGTTAATAATAAAGTGTTCTAACTATTAAATTTTTAAGATCAGACGGAGATGGTGAGTATAACAATGGTTAGTTTACATCATTTTGTAAGAAGAAAGGTATTATGCATGAGATTGTACCCCCATACACACCATAACACAATGAAGTTGTGGAAAAAAGAAATTTAACAATTTTAAATATGGTCATAGTATGTTGAAGACCAAAGGCTTGTCACATTCATTTTGGGGAGAAATAGTATCGACAGTTGTATACATCTTAAATCAATGTCCAACAAAGAGAGTGATGTATGTCATTTTACTTCTTCTTTTTTCAATCTAAGAGCATTTTCTAAGCTAATTATTTTATTCATAAACCATGCATTTACATGTTTTCGTTAAAAACATATCATAATTCAATTTTTCTTAATTTATTACGTTTTGCATAGTTTTACAATAAAAAATAATATACATGCATACACCCACAGTGCATATTTCTTTTATTCTTTTGTAAAAAAAAATAGATAAGCCAAATTGATCGAATTAAATGCCCAAATTGATACAGCTGAGTTTCACTCTTCTCGTAACCCGAAGTTTGCTTGTGTAACCCACTTGTAGAACGTTACAAAATGAAAATTTGAATCAAGAAAATTAACTTATGTGGGAATCCAATTTAGCTGAATTAAAGACCAACAAAAATCAAGAATTAAATGGAAATCGATGCTAGATCACTCAAAATAGGAAAGAAGCGGATTATTTTCTCCAAATCGAGTCTTAGAAATTTCTTTTCACAACAATTTCTTATTTGAGAAATATTTGATTTAATTATAATTAATTTTAGGTTTAATTTTTCTTATTGAATCTCTTATAAATATAGGTCTTATGACAACACAATTATTATCTCATGTTCTGGGGCGAGTTGTTGTTTAGTCTCGTTCTTGTTTTCTTTTCTATTCTCATCTTTTAGTTTAGTTTTTAGTTAGGCGAGCTTATCTATTGTTATTGCATTTCCGATTTGTTCTCTTTTATTTAATTTGCAATTTCTATTGAATTTTTCAGTTTATATTGTTCTATTTACTTTATTCATTCAGTGCTCATTTTAATTTCTGCTATTTAATTATTTAGAAATTTTATTTCATTTCAATACTCCTAAATTTTTATTTTCAATTTATCTTTTTTCTAATTCTAATTCTCAATTTAATTTTAGGGTTATCGCTTCTAGAAATTTTTAATTTAGTTACTGCACTATTTTATTTTAAAACCATTTTTTATTCTTACACTTTTAATTAAAAACACTTTATTTTAATTTTATAAATTTTAATTATTTAAATTCTATGTCCATTTAATTTTAATTACTGCACTATTTTGTTTTAAAGCAATTTTTTATTCTTGAACTTTTAATTAAAAATATTTTATTTTAATTTTATAAATTTCAGTTATTTAAATTCTGCTTCAATTTATTTTTAGTTTTCTTTAATATTCTATAGCAATCGATTTTAATTTTTATTATTCTGCATCAAATTTTTTTTTTACTTTTTCATTCATCCTCCTAATTATTGTTTTTAGAGAGAATGATACATGGTAATAAATACGTTCCTATGATTGTGAGATCTGACATACGTTAGCTATATTGCATTAGTTTAACAACTTTTATTATTTGTTATGAGTATTTTGTATGACCAAAATATTATTATCAGAGAGTAAAGGAGAAAACTCCAGAAGAAGTATGGTATAGGAGAA